GTCAATAGTTGAGCAGTATGATCGGATAAAGCTAATTCTATCACCTCCGTCCTGCACGCCTTTAGAAAGTTATGGGCAAAATTATCAATACAAGTATGGCTTATCAATCTGGTTGGCTCTTTCAATGCCAATTTTAGATTATAATTAAGAAGAAGACATTCAAACTCTAAAGTAATTTTGTTTTTTTTTTAGTACGTCAATATTAAAATCTCCTGCTATTATAATATTATCGAACTTTTTTCTACTCAGAAGGGATAATAATTGATCCATCTTAGAGAAAAATATGCGTTGAGGTAAGAAACGGTGAGTCGAGGAGTGAGTGTACAATTTTATATAGGTAAATTAACTGGTGATATTTGCGCCGGGATTCTAGGGAAGAAATTTTGAACCTTTCTAATTTCATCTCGTAAGATTTATATTTTCGACCTGAATTAAGCCTGAAACTGAGAATATTGAGAATCTTTCTTTGAACTCCTTCAATACGTTCAGCGTGTACATTGTGATGAGGAGACCAAACGACTGAGGCATATTCTAATTTGCTTCTCACTAATGAGAAGTATAGGTATAGCAGAGTTGACTGATTGGTGAATTCCTTAGTGCAACGTGAAATAAAACCAAGGAGTTGATGGCAATGGGAAATCAAATAGTCGTAGTGTGGACGAAACGTAAGACCCTCATCGAAATACACACCAAGATCCCTAATAACAGGTGTACGCTGTAGTGTAGAACCACTGATACGGTAATCAAAAATGAGTTTATTTTTAATAGAACCAAAGGATACAACATAACACTTGCTAGAGTTGATAAACATATGGTTATCGGAGCTATTTACTAGATCCAGATTGTGCTGCAGCTTAAGGCAATCTTGGATATCCTGTATGGCATAAAATATTTTGAGGTCATCAGCATATAATATAAGGGGTAAAATTTATCCATCATCACGGAAACCTTTATTTTTTTTTAATTCACGCGTTTTAATGTCACATTTATAATTATCTTGGTATGCGTGCTTACAAACTGCCGAAAGTATCGCGCATACCAAATTTTAACTCTTCGCTTTTTAACGGTTTCTATATCTGTAAAGTGTGAGTGAGGCAGATTTTTGGTTCAAGTTGAAACCTTGCATGAGTTCGTGTCTTTCTATTCCCTACGAATTTAACATTTACCTGCCTCAAAGATACACAATACCGTAGTGAGGTTGTGAGGTTGTTCTACGACAGGGCTGCATAGTGTTAACTCTCTTACTCCGGTTTCTTTTCAAGTCCATAGGACTGCTCCAAGAGTAAGTGAGATAAGAGTAACATCGAATTTATGTTAAAGTTCCATAGTTCTTTCTTTCTTACTCCGAAAAGGTCACAGCATACCTACGTTGTCCTACAGCATTTTGGGGGTTCAGATCATTTCGAAATTTCAATATGAAGTGTTTTGTGTGTGTGTTAAACTTGAATTGAACATATTTTTTGTATCAACCTTCATTTATTATATAATCAACCCAAATATTTTTTTTCCTGTATTCCCTCTTTTCCATATTAATTAGTATAATAAATAGTTAAAAACTTAAGGAAGAGACCAGAGGTAGAAGAGAGACTAAAAGAAATGTCATCAAGTAATTGAAATCTATAACAGTATAATCCTCACTCACACAATAAAATTTGGTATGCGCGATACTTTCGGCAGTTTGTAAGCACGCATACCAAGATAATTATAAATGTGACATTAAAACGCGTGAATTAAAAATAATAATAAAGGTTTCCGTGATGATGGATAAATTTCACCCCTTATCACACCATTTAAATAGGTATGCGTGACCTTTCCGGCTAAAAAACATTGGTCGGCCGGATTTTTTTCTTGTTGAACATAATATTTCACACAAAATTCTATATAACATTGATCAAAATCCGTGATGACAGAAAAAAAATATGGAAATTTAATAATAAATAATTTAATTAAAATACTTCCGGCCAATCAAATCCACGCCGACCAAGCAAATCTTGTTCGTCTAAACGTTAACTTTTTTTTTTTTTTTTAAATATTAGAATCCGTGATCACGGTTTTAGCTTTCAGGATTGGTGCCTCCTCGCCTATAACGTAAATGAATTATACATCTCTTATCAATACAATTTTTTTTATTGACATTATTTATTTATTTATCTTTAACAATGTGTGTTTAATTCTTATTAAACAAGGCACAGTGGATTTCCCTCTTTAATTCTAGCGCATTTCTGAGGAAACAGCTTCATCCAGCCTGACGACTGCAGTGAAACAACACTATTTTATTGCCGTGCTATTTCTTAAGGCAAATAAGGTTTCCAAGATCCACGGGGTAGCTAATAGGATTAGGACACGTGCGCTATTAGTTACTGGTATAAGTCGCGGCACGAAAATACCGCTGACCGTTATTTCGCAGAAGTAAACATTAAAGCGCCTACTGACGGGCCTGCCGCAGGGACAATCTAGGGTGCACGACGGTCGGGCCAATATCGGCTTGTCTCTACACACATGCCTGCTATTCAGTTTTCGGGCGTATGTTGAGCTAAACACACGCGTTGATGATGGTCCCAGTGTTATCAAAAAATATGTTACCGTAAATAAGGAAATACTGGGTGATGAATTGGCAACAGAAAGAAATGTATTGTAAATAAGTAATGTTTATGTTATTAGAAAAAAATCCACGCAGACCTGGCAGGAGACACTTTATGCTCATTATGATCTGCCGCCATCTTGATCAAAATACGTGCGCTGCGTGTGACAGCTACTAACCTACTGATTGAGAAATTGCCCCAATCGCGACACACGCGGCAACGTGCAGGGCAGTTGGGACAATCTAGGAAGCAAGGGTGGTCGCGCGCTCCTGCCGCCCTGCCGCAGGCCCGATTTTGAAAATTGCCCCAACTTGCCTACACACATCACAATTCAGGAGGCAATTTAGGGTCGACCCCACTCTTACACCCTAGATTGTCCCTGCGGCAGGCATGTCAGTAGGCGCTTTTAAGATGTGTTAGGGGGAAACGAGGTGCGCAGGCGGGCGGGCGTGCGTTGCGCCGATTGTCTCTCCAGTCGTACCCATGCGAAGCTAACCCCCCAGCGTTTTGTTCAGCGCTAGAGTTACTACTTGTAGAGCTATTGATCATACACAGAAAGACGTTAGAAGGGCGGGGCAGGCGCGCCAGTTATGTGTGAGCAAATACTCATAACTTGATCAAAACTTGGTTTTGATTGCGTCATTGCTTTCGGGTGTGAGTATTATCTATTAGGTGGAAGTGTAGTGGGGGCGAGTCGGCGACATCGGTGCCCGTACAAACGGTCTATGATCACCTTTCTTACCTATTTTTGTGCTATGTGCTTATACATATTGCTTGTTGTTTGTCCTACCTGAAGGTCTAATAAGGCGGACCACGGTCCCTTAATACATAAATAATAAACTTATAATACATGTGATTGACTTTGTCGACCTCTTGTGAAGTTGTGATAGGCGAAATATCAGTCAGCTTTAACTCTTTCAGAAACACGAGCTGTTTCAGTAGTATTGACAAAATAGAAGCGGAATTTTCCTTTAATTGTTCCAAGCTTCGGTTTATACATTTAAAAAGTGTGGTACCGACAAGAAACTGATTCAATTACACACTCGGAAACCGGACTACAACATAAAAACAATAGATGAAGCTAACTACGTTATATTATAAAGAATTCAAACAACATAGATAGTTACATACTCTATGTATATATATATATATACATAGTGTACAGAAATGTCTTCTGTATAGATAGAATTTAGTCAAATCATCAAACCAATTTAAATGTCATACCACCGTTTTAAGCTAACGACAATTAAGTATTTGATTTATGAAACATCTATATAATATGTACTAAAATATACATTTATGAGTAGATCTACTATTAGTGATAAGCAATTAACACAACAGCAGCAGAACCCGTTCATTACATTAACTAATGATATTTTGTGTTAAAGGTGGTTACCTAGTTAATTATATGTGATTGAAAAAATTTAAGTGGCAAAACTAGTACAGGTCGCGGTACGTAACTCTAGCGCTGAACAAAACGCGGAGGGGATAGCTGAGCATGGGTACGACTGGAGAGACAATCGGCGTGACGCACGCCCCCCCGCGCACCTCGTTTCCCCCCAACACATCTTAATTTTTACTTCTGCGCAATAACGGTCAGCGCTAGTGCTAGCGCGACTTATACTGACCCAAAACCGTCGCTAGCGCCACTCCCGTAGTCACTGTTCCCAACTTAGGGGTTGTGCCCCCAGATTTAGGGGCTAGAAGTGTTTAAACGGACTTTTTTGGGGCTGGAATTTTTTGGGGGTCCTTTTATCAAAACTTTCAATTAAATCGAAAAACAAAGCGTGTGTTTTCTTTCAGTTTTGTGCGTAGAATGGAACGCACCACGATATGAAACGACTGAACTGACTGTGGCGGGTCGTTTCCTAAGGCTGTATGGACTAAAGTTAAAAAACAGCTAAATAAGATTTAACAGCCTATCAGCTCATTTTCGTTTGATTGTCCTTTGGGAAACTGTATTTATTCAATAATTTATAATAACTTATAATTTACTATAACTAAATATGTAAAGTTTTTATTTATGAGCAGCGAAAGAAATTGGGTAATACGTAGGTACATATAAAATTCTATATTTAGGGGATTTTAGGGGAATTTAAAAAATACTTAGGGGAAAATTTTGGTAAGGGTTGGTAACACTGCCCGTAGTGTCCCTTAGTGTCCCATGTACCTATCTGACGACCGGACGTAGGCACGGGTGTAAAACCGTATCTAGAAAATCGTCTCATTGTCAAGTTTGATATTGAGCCCTAAGTGGAGTCTAGTCGCGTCGCATAGATGTGTAGCATAAAAGCTTTCCCTAAAACTTACGAAAGGTAGCTTCGAAAGGAAAATCCGTTATGCCCTACCTCTTTTTTAAAAAATTGGTTCTGTTTATAAACTATGGTGAAAATTAATAAACATTTATCGTTTTCGCAGGACAAACATCGGCTCAGAATTCATAGTGAACAAAGGGCTGCGCTTCAGGAAGAATGAAAGCGTGCCGAAAATAGATGTCTCTTCCTCCAGTAAGTAGAGCTCATCACTATCATGTTGCCATCCCCACTGCTGGGATATTGACCTTCCCTACGGATGGAATAGGGAGAACAAGGCCATGACCTAATACGCCTAGTGCGATTTTTTCCTTTTTTATTATTGAAATTTGTGTTTCTAAAATACATGTTTTTTAATAAGCCCTTACCGGTAACCGGCTCAGGCATTTCTATGGACCAGCGTCGATAAGCGCCGACAAGTGCCGACACGCGCCGACACGCGCCGACACGCGCCGACACGCGCCGACACGCGCTGGTCAGCGCTGGAACTGCCATTTTAAAAAATAATCATCGTTTTATAAATCTAATAACTTTATCTTTTATTAACTAAGCGCTAAAATTATTTGTTTCCTACTTACCGAATGGTGACAACAAGTCTTTCTTCCGGAAGGATTGGTTGTTTATGCTAATTACACAAATTTTTCATCAAACAGTTTTTCACTAAATCCAAATTGTAATAAAACGTTTCTTGGGTCATCTATGTATATATATATAAAACTCAAAGATGACTGACTGACATAGTGATCTATTAACGCATAGCCCAAACCACTGGACGGATCGCGCTGTTTGGCATGCAGGTAGATGTTATGACGTAAGCATCCGCTAAGAAAGGACACATGTAACTAGGATTTTGATTAATTCTACCCCCAAGGGGATAAAATAGGGAATGAAAGTTTCTATGAAACTGTAAATTTTAAACCGATCGGGCTGAGACTTTGCATGCAGGTATAAGAAGAATCATAGATGAATGTCATTGTGTATAATACAAGCCTGTGAACAAAAACTGTAGTCTACACTTCAGCTCTACACCGAAGCGAAGCGAGGGCGGGCCGCTAGTTCTTGTATAGGTATAAAATCTTCGATCATCAATTTTTTTTTACAAATAAATGATGGTATTCTCCTAAACTTTTCCTTTCTCTATTTATAGCTTGTATAGCTTTTTTACGCATTTTTAAATACACATTTTCTAACAAAACCAAATCATTGTCCGATGAGTCCGACATTTAGCTTGCTCTGCTTTAATCTGCTTCCTTTATGTAACTGTAAGCAGTAAGGACCAGCGCCGATAAGCGCCAACAAGCGCTGGTCGGCTTTCAGCTTTCTTTCTGTATACGGCCTAAAGCCAGAAACATATTAACCTGTCGTGTCGTGTCGTGGCGCGCCAGAAGCACATCGGTTTCATACATTTACTATGGTCAGAGACATATTTACGTATCGTGTCGTGTCGACGCTTTAACCTCTCTGTCTCTCTAACCCATAATAAATGTATGAAACCGATGCGCCACGTCACGCCACGACATGTTAATATGTTTCTGGTTTAAGGCTCCGCCGGGTATTTGATTCAGGCCGGCAAGATGGCTGGACCGGCATACTTTCTGCCGCATCATCTATAGCGACTGCACTCCACTTACACTTAACATGAGGTGAGGATTCGTTGCGAATCGTATAGAACAAAATCTTCACAAAATTTCCACGAAATATATTATAATACTATTCGTTTTATCTAGGCACTCTGCCCTTGAAACGTATACCGTCATTGTTAACAGTAGAACTAGGAAATTAAGTTTTTTTTTTCAATGGTTAATGGCCAAACGTCAAGGTCCCTCTAATAGCTAAGTATAGTATGACGTGGGTGAAAATTGACACAGGCCGACGATCTGGATGGAAGCATATTTATTAACATTGCTCTGTATGAATTGAACAATATTAATTAAGTTGGACAGCCCCCGGGGACGTATGGAATAGCGTCACCCCGGGACTAGGTCTGACAAAACAATGAAAAATACACAGAAAACACTAATCAAATAACCCAGACCATTGTAAGAAAGTGAATAAAACAGAATAATAAAAAAAAAATAAAAAAAAAAATGTAAGCGATAGTCATAGCAATCCCGTTAGGCGATTGGCCCCCACGGGGTAGTCTACGTCAGGATTTGTAGATTTACAACTCTATATTATGACTAGCTGACTCGGCGAACTTCGTACCGCCCAAAAGTAATAATTTGCAATAAATTAAAATTGCGACTATAATTTGAGATTTAAACTATCCTATCTCTCAAGTTGGATCGAACTGCACATGGTGTGCGAATTTTATTATAATCGGTTCAGTGGTTTAGGAGTCCATTGAGGACAAACATTGTGACACGAGATTTATATATATTAAGATTATGATTATAGACAATACAAATGTACAGACTGATTAGGCCGATGAGGTAGATTAGGTAAGTCAAGTACTCGTTTAACGACCGCAGATGCAGCCAGAACTAGTGTTGTTAAATTCTCGAGAACATTCTCTATGGTGAAACTTTGCGGTTAAGTTCTCGGGAACATTCTTCTGACCGAGAATTTATGAGAACTTTAAAAGTGAAGTCACTTTTCGGTAGGATTTACAATGTGACTAATAGATGTTTATATGTATGTACGTAATATGCAGACTGGATTAATAAAAACCCAGTTATTTATATAAATTCCCGGTAAATTCCCGACTACGAGAATGTTCTCGAGAACTTTCTAGAATGTTCTCGGAAATATTTCAAGACTAATGTGATTTAATTATGATGATTTTTTTACTTTTGCATTTTTCAATGTTATTCTTATACTTATGATAAACATATATATATTGGAAAAATCAACTCCGCCCCCGGATTGATATTTCCAATATTTGTCTATTTAAAATTTATCATAAGTGATTTAAGTTATTATTTATTAGTAGAGAATAATAACAATTGTTATGTTAAATAGTAATAAAATACCAAATATCTAATCAACATTTATTAAATATATATTTAAAAACATAACTGTATGATACGAAAAGTACGAAACAAACAGAACTTAAAGGTAAATAGGTAATAAAATTAAAATTAATCTTCTAGAATTCGTCTGATTGGTCTGATTAGTATCTATATTTTCAAATTCCAGCTAATGGATCGTCATCCTCATGATCACTCATCTCCATGACGACTTCTGGTTCCTCCTCGACCACAGATATTTCTGAATCAGAGTCTAAATTAAAAGATTCTGTCTCAGAATCACTTGCACGATCCCCTTCATAAGATGTACTCGGTTTTTCTTGATCAAATGTTTTATTTGTTCTTGAATCGTCTCTATTTAATCTTTTCAATAGTTTCCAATTATGAGATATCAGACTGATTTTGCCCGCCCGCTCCGTAAGAAATTTATTCCTTTTTTTCGTGTGTATATTTGAAAAGGTTGAAGACGAACGTTCTACTGCAGCAAAAGTTGCCGGAGCGGTCAATATTTTAATAGCAATTGTCCCTAGATAGGTTTTTTAGTAAAGTAATTTCCACCATGCCAATGGACTCATTTTATTGGCTGTTTGCCATACAAATTCTTTGCTCCAAAGTCCAGCTCCACACTTGTAGTCTGATACCTCTTGCATCAACTGTTCTATGGGTTGCTGCTGTTCTTCCGCGACTGCTATCACAAACTGCCATCCGTCAATATTCTCATTAGGTTTAAGCATGGCCCCACGTTTCCGAGGATCTAACAACGTCGCAGCGTAATGTATTGGCATTAATGATATCTTTTTTCTTTGTTCATATTTTAGTTTTAACGTAGAGTGAAAATTAGTCCCTAGAATTTCTGCCCCTGTTGGATTTTGTATCAACTCATCTAATTCTGAGAATGCTTTATAAACTAAATGTCGATTTTATAACGTCGGGGCATTTGTTACAATTATTCGTTAAATGATTAGTCATTCTTGTTGCATTTCGATTTTTGTAACTTTGATTACAAAATTCGCATATATACAACACTTTTCCATTTTCATCTATTTATTTATAATAATTATAAATCTTTCCCTTCGGTTTCATTTTCAATATATATTTTTTTATTCTGTTTCGTACAAGGCACTTTTGTTGATCACGTCCGAATACTTTACGGTGCGAGTCTGTACTAGCATGTGCGTTAACCGAGCGTCGCGTGCAGCAAGACGGGGAGGGGAGGTGCGGGAGCAGAAATCACAAAGAGCCGCGCGGCGCGTGTCGTTTGTCGGAATTCAAAGGTTCAACTTCAATAAAGCCGATCGCCGAGGCACCCTTTGGTGTTGTTGTAAATTGAATAAGTTGTTATGGTACAAAACGAACTAATTTCATTACAAAACTTGAAACTATATCGTTCTTATTCTACATAAATTAACATCATTTTAAGTTCTCATAAATTTCCAGTGTACCGAGAACATTCTCGGTTGAACGGAAACATTTCAGAATATTCTCGATACGAGAAAGTTCTCGATTGGAGAACATTCTCTGGTCACATCACTAGCCAGAACCAATGACGGCTTAATGTACCTGTCGCAGTATAGAGGGGCACTTTATAGTAAATTTTTGTCCACCTATCCTATAACCGGCTGTAGGAAGGCCAAAGGGGAAGATCTTCCTCCGAGCTGGGTGATGTTAGCTCGGGGGCCGCGGCCCGACTGATGTTGGTCGCGCATCGTATATATAAACTGTTGGCTACCGAATTTTACTTGCGCGATGTAGGCTTCCTGACGTTGTGAACGCAGCGCCGGTAGCGCCATCTCTTGAGGAGGCGGGTGATTACTTTTCCTCCATGTTAGTTATATGTGGGCCGTGGGGCATATAGATGTCGCCGAAAATAACAAAAAAAAATGTAAGCGATCGTCATAGCAATCCCGTTAGGCGATTGGCCCCCAGGGGGCCAATCGCCTAACGGAAATGCTTTGGAAAACGCTAACGCTTACGATTTTATTTTGTTATTTCTAGCCGCCTGAGGTATTCAAATGCCTCGCGCTCTTTCTTTTTCTTTTGCATTGGTAATAACAATATTAAAAAAAATTAGCGTGAGGTATTCGAAAACCTCAGGCGGCTAGAAATAACAATATAAAATCGTAAGCGTTAGCGTTTCCCAAAGCATTTCCGTTAGGCGATTGGCCCCCGGGGGTAGTCTACGTCACGATTTGTAGATTTGCAACTCTATATTATGATTATGATTAT